GCATTCTAGATCTTTAAAGCAAAAAAACAAAATGACAATGTCACAAAGAAGCTGACAAATTCACCATCAAAGTAGAAAATTTTAACATATTACTCTCAGAAGTTGATAAAAAGATTTGGATATGGAAGATTTGAACAATGCAATTAAGCTTGACCTAATGGGCATACAGAGAACCTTGTATCCCCAAATTAGAATTTTGTACATATGGAATATTTATAAAAATGGACTACTACTAGACCATAATGAAATTCCCAGCAAATATCACAGAACTTAATCATACTGAGCAAGTTTTTTAACCACAATACAAGTAGTTTTGAAATCAGAAAAGGATAATTTTTAAAAACTCAATATATTTGGAAATTGCCAATATAAAATATTTAATTTTATGTAGTCAAATATATTTATCTTTTCTTCTTAACTTCTGGGTTTACTGCTTAGAGTTTTCTTGGCTTAGAGTCTCTCTAGATATATACTAATACTTCTAGTAATTTATTTTTAAATTTAAAATTTTTATTTAATATTTTTGTGATGTATGAGAGTGAGGGTCTATTTTTGGTATTTTTCAGATGATTATTCAGTGCTACCAGAAGCATTTATTAAAAAGTTCATCCATTTCCCACTGAATTAAAATTCTGAAAAAGAATGGTAAGAGTGGTTTGGCCTTAGCAGATATTAAAACTTAGTATAAAATTTTATAAGAAAAATAGTATGGTAGTAGCATAGGAAGATTTAAATAGATTACTCAAACAGGTATATAGAGCAACCAGAAATAGATCAAATTCATTAGGGTCTTAACATATGACAACTAGTCATAGTTTTCATTAGATTCATAAAGGATTGCATGACCCATAATAAGAGAGAGACGCTGTCTGATTTTCATTGTAAAAAACAAACAAAATCTTATTTTTTTCCTGCTATTTTGAAAAATTTAGGGAAAAGATCTGAAAAACAAAAATTGATTAATGTTAAGTCTTCCCTAAACTTTTCATGGTTCAGCATGAGCCATGGGGGTGATATGCCACCCCAGCAGACCTGGAGAGCAGAGCATTGAGCCAATGAGATTATTCTCAAGCCTTGGAGTTTGCCTTGCTAGGTTTTGGAATTGCTTGGAACCCATCACCCATTCCTTATTTCTTATTTCTCCCTTTTGGAATGGGAATTGGGAGGGGAAAAAAATAATTTTCTTTCTACCCTTCTGAGTTCTTAGCTGAGACATATATAATAAAAGACATATTAACAAGAGAAAAACAGGTTTATTAACATGTATACCTCATATATACATGGTAGATCCCTAGGGAAAAATGAGTAAGGAGATGGCTTTAGAATTCAGGATTAAATACCATCTTATTAGGGAAAAAGAAGGGGGGCTAGAGACCTTTTAGAGGAGAGTAAATGATTTTTAGGAAAGATGAACAGGCCTTTAGAAGAATAAATGAGAGGTATGGTAGTTTGTGACAAAATTTGGGTGTGGTGTCTATTTTTCATCTCCTCTCCTGTGATGAGCCAATCCTTCTCTGTTGATAAAACTCCCAGGGAGGGCATTTATGACAATGAATGACAGATCCTTTTGGAGGATCTGTCTTTAGATAGATAAGGAGAGTTCAGAGAAAGCCTCTTCCTGTATTTGCTGTTTTTCAAGTGACTACAGCTTAAAATAATATACCAAAGCAGGGTATTTTGCAGTAGCCTGTCCTGAACTCCTAGAGTCGTACTTTGGGGTGGCACATTCTACTATCTTTCAGAATTTCTATCCTATTCCTGCCCCGCCATTGTATTTTGGAAGCACATAACTTGTTTGGTTTCACAGGTTCAGAGCTGGAGAGGAATTTTGCCTCAGGATGAATCATACCCACCTTAATTCTCACTCATAACAGATTTAGATGAGATTTTGGGCTTTACTGTTGATTCTGGAGTGAGTTAATACTTTTGGGGGGACTGTTTGGATGGAATGAATGTATTTAGCTAGTGAGAAGACATGAACTTGGCATCCCTGGGATAGAATGCTATGAACTGAATATCATCTCCCACAATTCATATGTTGAAGCCCTAATCCCCAATGTGGAACTATTTGGAGAAAGGCCTTTGGGAGGTAATGAGGTCATAAGGGTGGAGCCCTCATGATAGGATTAGTGCCCTAATAAGAAGAGACTTCCTCTCCCCCTCATGTGAGGATATAATGAGAAGACAGCCATCCACAAGCCAGGAAGTAGACTCTCACCAGATACCAGATCTGCCAGCACCTTGATCTTGGATTTCCAGCCTCCAGAACTGCGGGAAATAAATGTTTGTTGTTTTAGCCACACAGCCTATGGTACTTGTTATAGCAGCCTGAGCAGACTAAGACAGAAATTGTTGATTTGTCGCCACTTCACCTCTTCTTCTGTTCCCATAAATGTTACAGAAAAATTAATATTAACTAAGCAAACATCATTTAAGGGGTTGATTTGTTCCAGCACTTGTGAATGTTACAATAATAAGTGAATAAATATTACCAAGTGCCATTTTCAAGGAAAATGTCAACTTCTTTTTTGTTTCGAAGATGGTCAAACCTATAGCATTGCCCTTCCCTAACTCAATATGTTTGAAAATGGACAAATGGCTTTATGTCTGACATTTTAGTGAGGCTGCAGTTGTAGTCGCTGCTGTCCAAGCTTCACAATGCCACCCAAAGATGACAAGAAGAAGAAAGATGCTAGAAAGTCCGCCAAGAAAGACAAAGACCCAGTGAACAAATCTGGAGGCAAGGCCAAAAAGAAGAAGTGGTCCAAAGGCAAAGTTTGGGACAAACTCAATAACCTAGTCATGTTTGACAAAGCGACTTATGAC